ACAGAGGACGACTCACTCTTCTTCTTCGTGGACGGACTCCAACATTGGGCAAAGCAAGAACTACAACGTCGGGGCGTCAAGACCGTCGATGATGCAATTGCCGCTGCTGAGTCATTAATCGAGTTCCGCCCATCCTCATCTTCCGATACCACTAAGAAAGACAAGAAGTATCTCGCCAAAGGTGGGGGAGATAAAAGGGACAACAAGAACTGAGACTCCCAAGACCAACGACGAGCGCCGGCCAAGGAGGATTGAAACTTCGGACGTCGCAGCTACAAGGAGAAGAAACAGGCGTTTGTCCCTAAGGGAGGCTGCTTCGTGTGCAAGGGGCCACATGCCATGAAGGATTGTCCAAAGCTAGGGTCCCTCTCAATCATCATGGAGTAGTCCGAGACTGAGACTAAGCAGGCAGAGCCAACAATGATAGGTTCGTTGCAAGTCCTCAATGCTCTCGATACCAAGCCCGAGCGCATCACGTCTAGCAAGGGGCTCTTGTACGTGGAAGTGCATATTAACAGGGCTCCGACAAAGGCTCTGGTGGATACAGGAGCCAGTCACAACTTCATTACCAAGGAGAAAGTCACAAGGTTAGGACTATCTTGGTCCGAGAAAATTGGGTGGCTAAAGACTGTCAATGCCAATGCTCGTCGACTCGATGGAATTGCTAGCAACGTGAGTCTGCGCCTAGGGACATGGCAAGGACGCGTGAATTTCTCAATAGCACCCATGGACGACTTCAAGGTGGTACTCGGTATGAACTTCTTATGACAGGTAACAACTATACCAATGCCATCCTTTAGTACTGTTTGTATATTGGAGAAGGGATCTCCATGCATGGTTCCAACTATAGAAGGGGACAACAAGAGTGCTAGCAAGCAACTCTCCGCGATGCAGCTTGCCAAGGGGGCAAAGCGAGGAGAGCCAACCTACTTGGCAGTACTAAAGGAGGACAACCATGCGAAGGAATCCCCGAAGGTGCCCTCCCTTATCCGAGGAGTCCTTGAGGAGAACAAAGACGTCATGCCTGTCGAGTCGTCAAGCAAGCTTCCACCAAGGTGAGGTGTGGATCACAAGATTGAGTTGGAGCCAGGCACCAAGCCACCAGCCATGTCCCCCTACCGAATGTCTCCCCCTGAGCTCAAGGAATTGAGGAGGCAGCTCAAGGAGCTCATAGAGACTGGGAAAATCCGCCCGAGCAAGGCCCCCTATGGCGCACCCGTACTCTTCCAAAAGAAGCTTGATGGAACACTACGCATGTGCGTAGATTACCGGGCACTCAACAAGGTAACTATCAAGAATCACTACCCCATCCCTTTGATTGCTGACTTATTTGATCGACTTGGGGGAGCCCGAGTGTACACCAAGATGGATTTACAGAAGGGTTACTACCAAGTTCGCATCGCCGAGGGAGACGAACCCAAGACCACATGCATTACACAGTATGGGTCGTACGAATGGTTAGTGATGCCCTTCGGGCTCACGAATGCCCCAGCTACATTCTGCACGCTCATGAACGAGATATTCCATCCGTACTTGGATCGGTTCGTGGTAGTCTACTTGGATGGCATCGTTATATATAGCAACTCGCTTGAGGAGCACGCTGACCACTTACATACCATATTCAAGGTACTCCGGGAGAATGAACTTTATGTTAAGGAGTCCAAGTGCATTTTTGCCCAAGAAGAGGTGAACTTCTTGGGACATGTCATAGGTCATGGAAGGATCCGGATGGACAGGGCAAAGGTGAAGGCGATCATGGAATGGGAAGCTCCCACCAAAGTTACCGAGTTAAGATCCTTCTTAGGGCTGGTAAACTATTATCGTCAGTTTATATAGGGATACTCGGCGAGGGACGCACCGCTTACTGACTTGCTCAAGAAGGGGAAGTCATGGGAATGGACCAACGAGTGTCAAAGAGAATTTGAGGATCTCAAGGCCGCCGTGAGTCAGGAGCCTGTCTTAGCATTACCTGACTTCACTAAGCCATTTGAGGTTCACACTGATGCGTCTGACTTTGCTATTGGGGGAGTATTAATGCAAGAGAGGCACCCGATAGCGTTTGAAAGCCGAAAGTTGAATGACATCGAGCGACGCTACATGGTGCAAGAAAAAGAGATGACAGTCATCATCCACTACTTGAGGGTGTGGCGCCACTACTTGCTAGGGGCGCACTTCAACATAAAGACAGACAACGTAGCCACTAGCTACTTCCAGACCCAGAAGAAACTCTCCCCAAAGCAAGCCAGATGGCAAGACTTTTTGGCTGAGTTTGACTACTCGTTGGAATACAAACCGGGGAAGGCCAACGTGGTGGCCGATGCTTTAAGCCGCAAGGCCAAACTTGCCGCCATTAGCAAAGCCGACGGGGATGTCCTTACCCGTATTTGAGAAGGGCTCGAACGGGACCCCGTCACGAAGGCACTCATGGGGCTCGCAAAGGAAGGAAAGACCCAACGATTTTGGGTAGAGGACGGTCTACTCTACACAAAAGGGCGACGTCTGTTTGTCCCAAAGTGGGACAGACTACGACAGGATCTCATGAAGGAGTGCCATGATACCAAGTGGGCAGGCCACCCAGGACAACGGAGGACGATAGCCTTACTCGAGTCCAACTATTTCTGGCCCCAACTGAAGGACGATGTGGAAACATATGTGAGGACCTGTCTCGTGTGCCAACAAGACATGGTCGAAAACAACCATCCAGCGGGACTACTCGAGCCATTACCAATACCTGTAGGACCATGGGAGTCGATCACGCTGGATTTCATTAGCTCCCTACCACAGTCTGAGGGATACGGGTCAATAATGGTTGTGGTGGATCGATTTTCAAAATACGGAACATTTATCCCATGCACCAAGGATTGTACCACCGAGGAAGCTGTCCGTGGATTTTTCAAGAATGTGGTCAAGCACTGGGGACTACCAAGGAGCATTGTGAGTGATAGGGATCCACATTTCACTGGGCGACTTTGGACAGAACTTTTCAAGCTCCTAGGTACCGAGCTTAACTTCTCAACAAGCTTCCACCCCCAGACCGACGGGCAAACGGAGAGGGTAAACACGCTACTAGAGTGCTATCTACGACACTTTGTAAGCGCTAACCAGAGGGACTGGGCCAAGCTGCTTGATGTGGCCCAATTTTCCTATAACTTGCAGAGGAGTGAATCAATTGGGCGAAGCCTATTTGAGGTGGTCACGGGACGACAACCATTGACTCCTCACACAATTGCCATACCTACAAAGGATGGGAAGAGTCCCGGGGCAAAGAATATGATCAAAACTTGGGAGGAACATGCAGACTTAGCACGCTCATACTTGGAGAGGGCCCATAAAAGAATGAAGAAATGGGCCGATACAAAGAGGCATCCGCGAGAGTTCTCCCAAGGCGACCTATTCTTTGTGAAACTATTGCCCCAACAATTCAAGACCTTTCGGAGCTTGCACAAGGGACTAGTACGAAGATATGAGAGACCGTTCTCGGTGATCAAGAAGGTAGGAAATGTTGCTTACCGAGTCAATCTCCTACCAACACTCAAGATCCATCCAGTCTTCCACGTGAGCATGTTAAAGCCTTACAAGAAGGATGTGGAAGACCCAAGCCGAGGGCAATCACAGAGAGCACCACCCCTTACAACCAAGTCTTTCGACAAGGAAGTGGAAGAGGTGCTCACATCAGACATTGTAAGGAGACGAGGGGTACCGCCAAAGAAACGGTACTTAATAAAGTGGAAGGGACTCCCAACATCCGAAGCATCATGGGAATGGAGGACTTATGGAAATTCCGAGATATCCTCGAAGATTATGAGGCGACAGGAACGCTGCCACAATAGGTGGGGGAGAATGTAACGCCCCGCATCACTCCCTGCACGCACACGAGCAAGAATGAGTTACTTGTATATGGAAGCCTTTAGAAAGGCCTAGTTTTGACTAGAAGCTTCTAGAAGGCTCCAGAATTATGTAGATATTTGTAGTAGGGACAAGAACACCCTAGAACTTTGTAGAGACTTATAGAAAGGGCAAGAGTCATCTTGAGTTGTGTAGAAGGTTCTAGGACATGTGTAGAAAGAGTAGGATTTGTGTGGAAGGGTCTAGAAAGACTAAGACCCTTGAAGGATCTAGAGAATTCCTTAGAGGAGGTGGTGCCTATAAATAAAGGAGGTCCCCTCATTTGCAATTCATCCAAGCTTTGAGAGCTCACTTGTACTAGAGTTTGAGTAATAGAAGCATTTTCCCTTCAAGTTCTCTTTTCTCGCTTTCTCTAGCCAAAGCACTTGCACACACCGAGCACGATCCCGAGTGAGGTGAGACTGACTTAGCTAGTTGCGAAGGGCGCACGAGAGGTTAAGACCGCACGCAACCAAATTCGAGAAACAAGGGCGTGACATATTACACGTTAAAAAAAACACAAAGTTTCACGCTAGAAGATAAAAAAAGCAAAAAAACAAACAAACACGGGAATAGATTTATTTTTGTTTGGATTTTTTTTAACATAACTATAAGCTCTCAAAATAAAATATTGAAAATAAGATATAAAAAAAGAGATACGTATAAAATTAATTAAAATATGTTTTGATAAGTATTTAGATAATTGAGATATGTTTGATTAATTTAATAATAATAATAACAGAAAAATATTTGTTATTATGTTTTTATTTTTATTTAATTTTTTTTAGATTCGTTTTTGGATACCAATATTTGAAGTATAGGGATGAATATCCGATATTGATAAATTGGACTTTTCAACATCATAGGTGCAGCCAATAGAGGCAATCCAATCAAAGAAAAGCCCTGCATGTTGTACATAAATAGAGAAGGGAATCTTGTGATTGAAACCAAAAATGGGACTGTTGTTTGGACAGCATTAGTAGACTAAAAAAACATGGCTTCTAATCCGATTCTTCACCTCCTAAATTCAGGAAACTTGGTATTAAGAGATGAGAGAGATGAAGAGCCAGAGAACTTTTTGTGGCAAAGCTTTGATTGATACCTTGTTACCAGGTATGAAGCTGGGATGGAACTTACAGACGGGTCTTAGCCGGCATTTATCTGCCTGGAAGAAATGGGATTATCCATCACCCGGAGACTTTACTTTTGGTTTTGCACTTGAAGGGTACCCTCAACTTGTTATGTGGAAGGGTTCGTATTTATTCTATAGGGGTGGTCCCTGGAATGGTTTTGGTTTCAGGAATGGTTTTGGTTTCAGTGGTGCCCCAGAATAGAAGAGAATCAAATTTGTTAGAAACAAAGAAGAGGGTGTACTACACATACAACCTCGGAAATGAGTCTGTAATTTCAAGAATGGTTTTGAACCAAACCATGTTCACTCGGTAGCGCTATGTATGGATTGAGGGAGCTCAAACTTGGAGGATCTATGCTTCTGTGCCAAGAGACAACTGTGATTACTATAATCTTTGTGGCCCTTGTGGACTCACCAGTTTGCCAGTGCTTGTCACAATTTAAGCCAAAATCAGCTGAAAATTGGGACATGATGGACTGGACTCAAGGATGTGTACGCAATCAAGAATTGAGCTGCAAGGATAAGAGTGAATATGGATTTTTGAAACATACTGGGCTTAAATATCCTGATATTACACATGCTTGGGTCAATGAGAGTATGGATCTCAACAAATGCAGGGAAACTTGATTAAATAACTGTTCCTGTACAGCTTATGCAAATTTAAATATAAAAGATGGAGGTAGTGCATGTGTGCTATGGTTTGGTGACCTGAAGGATATGAGACAGTTTTCTGGAGAAGCTTGGGATCTGTAAATTCGAATGGAAACTTTAGAGTCAGGTATGGCATTGATCTTTCTCTAGTTCTTGATATTATTTTATAATCTTTAATGATTTGTAATTTTTTGTTAAAAATCATGAAGAAGGGAAAGATGTACTTAAGAAGAAGGTGGCTGCAATAGTGATTCTTATTATGTCCTGCGTTGGCAAGAGAATGAGAAGTTTAAGGGTATTTTTTGCTCTAATTTAACCAATTTCCACTGAAGTAAAGCAAGAAAGATGTAAATATTCTTTACTCTTAAAAAGGAATTGAAATCCGTACCTTCATTAAATGCTTTTAACAAATCTAAAATAATTCATTTGCTTTACTCAAAACACCAACTGCATCTTCTGATTCACAATTCTGCTCTATTATAGGTTTATTGTTTACTGATATGTTAGGCTTTCTATTATAAAATTAAGAATTAGGTGTACGTTGAATGTGGTAATGGCATATTATTCTCTTTTTCTCGAAAACTCATGCGTTACAGTTGAGGAAACATAAAATTACTTGATGGAAAACAGTGAAAATCTGGACCTTCCTTTTTTCGACCTTTCTTCAATGGTCAAGGCAGCCAATGGCTTCTCAACCAACAAGATGCTTGGAGAAGGTGGTTTTGGGACAAAATACAGGGTAATTATGCAGAATAATTGTTTTAGGAATATAAAACGTAGAATCTTGGATACCATTACATATTGTTTATACATAAATTGGAAATGATAGGGTATCCTAGAAGATGGACAAGAAATTGTTGTCAAGAGACTCTCACAAGGTTCTGGACAAGGGTTGAATGAATTCAGGAATGAAGTGAGATTGATTGCCAAACTTCAACATCGAAACCTGGGTAAGCTTCTAGGTTGGTGTACTCAAGGAGAGGAGAAAATGCCTATCTATGAATACATGCCTAACAATAGCCTAGACTCCATCTTTTGGTTTTCTACAATCTTCCAAATTTTTATATTCACCAATTTTACATATTTTCCTCCTCCATATAATTGCTACAAATTAAAACACCTTGATAGTTTACCTTGATAGTTTACCTTAATTTTTATGAATAAATAACATATGCACTCATGGCGTCAAAGTTGTTCCTTATTGTTATTTAATCATAAAATCTCATACATGACAAGTTATTTACTTTTACAACAAAGATGATTTCAATTGGTTGACCATGGTAGAACTGTTATGTTGCAGTGCATGTTTATTATGTTTCCATTGGTAATTAATAACGGTGTTAGTCTTCTCAGATCATGGGAAAAGTAGAGTCGTAGATTGGTCTATACGCTTCAAAATTATCTGTGGAATAGTCCCAGGAATTTTGTATCTTCATGAAGATTCTAGGTTAAGAATATTACAGAGATCTTAAAGCTAGTAATTTTTTAGTTGACAATGAGTTCAACCCAAAAATATCTGAGTTTGGCATGGCTGAACTTTCAGGGGAGATCAGATTGAAGGAAGCACAAACAAAGTTGTTGGAACCTAGTAAGTAACGGTTTGTGATTTACATGTACCTCCACCCACACAACAATGATCTCAACCATGTTTAATAATTTTCTTCAGTGTTTACATGGCCCCTGAATATGCCATTAATAGGCTATTCTCAGTGAAAACTGACGTATTCAGCTTTGGTGTATTGTTGCTTGAGATAGTATGTGGAAAGAAGAACAGAGGATTTTCCCATTCAGATGAGTGTCTAAACCTTATTGGCATGTAAGTTGCCAGGAGTTGATACTTTTTCTGTTTTGAGTCGTGAGTAACAAACTCTGTAATGTCATGACAAATCTTTGTATGTTTTAGGCGTGTAGACGTTGGAAAGAAAGAAGGCCTTTAGATGTGATTGATTCGTGCTTGAAGAATTCATATATTATATCAGAAACATTGCGCTACATTCAAATAAGTCTTCTATGTGTTGAGCGTCATCCAGCGGATAGGCCTACAATGTCAAATGTGGTTGTGATGTTGATTAGTGAGAGTGCCTTGGCCCAACCTAAGGAACCTGCTTTCCTTATGGACAATATTGTTGCTCACGGAGATTCTTCTTGCAAGCATCAATCTTCAACCAATGGACTAAGTATTACCGTGTTAGATCCTCGGTAGTGGATCATTTACCTAAATCCTTTTCATGGATTTTTTATGATGGATGAAGCTTCACTCTAGGTGTATGTATACATATTTCTTCATATATGTTGGTTAAGGTTAGTGCTTTTGCTTTATAATTGCATTGAGCCTATTCAATTTCATCAAAGAAGTGCTACACTTTGCTAGCAAACATGGAAGGAAACTAGGCTTCAGTCACTGAACAAATGGTATAGCAACAATATGTAGACCCACAAGATAAACCTTTTAATGTTTTCCATTGTCATGTGATTTAAGTTAGGGTGACCATTAACTCAATGTTTACATCTGAACAATGCTATTTTGTACCAAAACAGAGAGTTACATCATCTGTTGTATACTCACCATAGTAGAACCTAAATTATCCAAACCCCAAAAATTAAACGTTTTCAAGTGGTGGTTTTCTCAAGGTGAACTTCGTTCAGAAGCTTCACCATCGCATCCAACTCCCTATGCGAGCTTCCACCATTCCCAACCGCACGCAGCGCCGCGTCCCTCAACTCTTCAGCTCTCACCCTCTCCTTGGTTGTGCCCAAACCCTTTGCAATCCTCTTCCCCAGCTCCCAAGCTTCTGGAACCCTCTCACCTTCAGCACCACGAATTCCCACACCCAACTCATCCACCAAAAGCCTCGCGTTCGTGTACTGATCCAAACCCATCGGCCACGTCACCATCACCACCCCTGAAACCAACGGTTGAGAAATCTATAAAAGGATCGAGTGAAGGGAAACAAAAACATATCGAGAATTGGAATCGAAAATTGAGGAAATAACGCTTAAACGTCCCTTGGTGAAGAAAATCAAGAAAACAAAATCTGGTAACGTTAAGGATATCGAGAATTAAAAGCAAATACAGAATTCTCGAAGTTGCGAAATCTAAATCGAAGGAAATGCTAATATATGTGAATATCAAAATTTTGGCTAAGAAGAATGGTCGACGTATACATCGAACATAGTAAGCGGTAGCAAAAGTCGAAGGTCAAGGGAGCGGTTACCTCATTCATGGGAACGTGGATATAGCTTCTAAACCGTAGAGCTAGGAATAAAACTGCAAAAGACGTGCACAGAGAACGTGGTAGTAATCTTCGTTAACTGCTCTTAAGAGACTACTTGAAAAGACACTATAAATAGAGCAAATGAGGAAAGGAAAGGTGTGGAAAAATTGGCAGGAGAACAGAATACTAGTGAGAAGTCTACCGGAGAACGACGAACATCATGAAGTTTCTGGCGATCTGGGTTTCCACGCTCATTGAGTACCTTTACCGCTTTCTTTATTTTCCTTGGTAATTTACTTTGATGCAATTTATATTCAGCAATTTTATGTTTCTGTACTTTCGATTTTTAGTTATTTCGATTCAAGCAAAGTTAAGCTTCCGCGTTTAAGTTTCCTTGTCATTTACATTTCTGCTGTTTCGATTCCCTGTCTTTTATACTTAAAGCGAATTTAAGGTCTCTGCATGTTACGTTTCTTTGCAATTTAATGTTCAGCACTGCTTTTCGATTCCATTAATTTTCTGCTTTCTTTACTTCGAGCACTTTAAATATAAAACACCAAAAATAGTATCTTTAAAATCGGGTAAAATTCGATCCTCATACGCATCTCGATTGAAAATTAATTTGCTAGCCTAAGTAAAAAAGAACTTACGTGGTAGAATTTTGATTAGGATCAAAATATCTTAAGAGTCGAAATCGATCGAAATTCCACCTGAAACAAATTGGCGCGCCAGGTAGGGGTTTCTTGTGTTAAAAACACAAAATTGGTTAGTTCGAGAGTGTATGAGATTAAGGAGTGGGCGAGTTATAAGAATGAGTCAAAATTCATCAAATAACCAGAGTAACAGTGAGGGTCTAAATGGTGTACATTCACTAAATACTGGGGGACAAAGTCATAATGGGAATATGCCTGTAACATCGACAACTGCGAGTATGTCGATACCAGTGGGTAACGAACAAAATTCAGGTACCTTAACAAACACCCAAGTAGGATCTAATGCGGTGGTACCAAATAATATGCAAACTATAGGAAACACCACAACAACATATGTAGGGCCACATATGAGTGTAAGACCGCCTGGGTTTTCGCTTAATAATATGAGTGGGGCTGGAACTTCTTCGACACAACGGAATTCGAGATATAATTTAGGAATGCCTCAAACACTAGGCATGCTCCAAAATTTTGGAGTCCCACCGAATTTAGGGACATCTCAAAACTTAGCAATTCCCCAGAATTCAGGAAGTGGACAGAATTTAGGCACACAACAAACGCTTCCAAATCTAGATCATAGAGGAAATCTAGATCATAGAGGAAATTTGGAACATGGAAGATATACATTCGATAGAGATTATCATCGATCCAATTTTGAGACTATCGAAAACACTGGTACTGGGATATCCAGTAACTCATTAGGGATACTTAGACAATAAATGGATGAGAGCAATTTTGAGATGGTGAATATGTTATCACAACAGTTGACTACAGTCTTAAATCCATTAGTTCAAAACACTACTGCTAGTTTTGAGATATTAGCAGACCAAATGTCACGAATCGGGGATGCATTGGCTGTACCTCGACGAACAAGGGTAGAAAATCATGCTAACCAGAATGCTAATATTAATCCCCCGTATCTATTAAGGAGAAATCGAAACAATGATCAACATCAGCATACGGGGAATGAGTACCAACAGATGAGAAATGATATTTGTGGGAATCTGAATGAAGGATTTCAAAATATGTACAATCAGAATAACATGCAGTATAATCACATGTTAGGACAGAGGATGAATTTCCAAGAAATGGAGTTTAGACCACCCAATCAAACATACTTTGTGTCTCCCTTTCAAAATGCGATTCTTGAGACGGAATTACCTCGAGGATACAAAGTACCTAAATTCACCAAATTTGCCGGAGAAGTTGGTGAATCAACTATCGAGCATGTAGCTCGATATCAGATCGAATGTGGGGACCTAACGATGAGCGAAGAATTAAAGATGAAATATTTCCCTAGTTCTTTGACTAAGAATGCTTTTACTTGGTTTACTTCGTTGCCACCCGATTCGATATATAATTGGCTGCAACTGGAAAGAAATTTTCATGAGCAATTCTTTAGAGGAGAAACTCAAGTAAGTCTCATCGATTTGATGAATATAAAAAGATACAATCATGAAAGCATAGATGATTATTTGAATCGATTTAGACTAATGAAGTCGAGATGTTTCACTCAAAATCCTGAATATGAATTAGTTAGAATGGCCTCTGCAGGCTTAGAATTCTCGATTAGGAAAAAGTTAGTCAATTTACCATTGAATGACATGGCTCAATTAGCTGATAAAGTAAGAAGAGTAGAACAAATTGAGTATGAAAAACAAAGGTATAAGAAATATGAGAAACCCATGAAAAAAGAAAGAGTAGCATATATAAATGATGTATATGAGACAGACCCCATGACAGAAAATGATATTGAAGAAACTATCGACGAGAAAGTAAATATAGCAGAACTCAAAGTAGGGGCTCCATATATCTGTAAATTGCTACAAAAGAATGAAGTGAAAGATAAAATGGCAAATCGAACGTATACTTTCGATGTGACAAAGGCAGATAAAATCTTTGATATTTTATTAAAAGACAAACAAATCAAGTTGAGTGATGACCATAAACTGCCTTCTGCAGAACAAAAGAATGGTCGAAAATATTGCAAATTTCATAATATTTATGGACATTGGACTAACAATTGCATACATTTCAGGAATACGATCAAAGATGCGATTGACCAAGGAAGACCGAAATTTGAAGAGATGTCAATGAAAGTGGACACGAGTCCATTCGAAGTTCAAGTGGGGTATATTGAATCCCAAACGGGCATGATCGAAGATGTCCGAGTGACGAATTCTGCTTTTGTAGGCATGGTCGATGTTACTGAAGACATTGATCCCAAGCATGTCAGAATGGATGTATCCGAAGAAGATATGGAGTTCGACCTGAGTGAATTCGAGAGAGAATTCGAGAGGGAGATCTATCCTCGATCAGGAGATTCTCTCATCGAGCTTTTAAACAAGAAGAAAGAAAAAGATGAAGATGTATCGTTGTGTCCACGATGTAGTGCAGTGTTCGAAAAATCAGCTGCTAAGGCTTTCAGAGTGGAGCAGATAAAGAAAATCGAGAATCAAAATAAAAGAGGTAATGACAAAATGGATCAAACAGCCCAACCAATGATAGGGGAAAGTCAATAGAAATCCGTTGGTTCTGGTGTTAGTGGAAATCAAAGACAGTGGGTTAGAAGAGAGATGTATTCTTCTCGAGGAGGAAGAGGCAAACTCCAGAGTAATGATGTCTTCGAGAGACTGTCGTACGATGAAGGATCGAATACTAGATTCCCAACATTTCAAAGGCGATTCCGTGGAAGGCCCTGGAGAAGGGGAGGAAGGATCCCTTACTGGAATAATTACAGAAACTTTGAAGAGAATAATGTATCAATGGGGGGCCAATATGCAAGAGATTATTTCGACGATAAGAATGAAGGCAGCTGGGATGAACATCAAATCGGAGTGATATCAATACTACCCGCGGAATATGTTAATGAATATCAAGAATACCAAGAGCAGAGGGATGCTGATCGAGAAGATGACTTTTATTCAGAAAACATAAGGCCAAAGGTAACATGGGTTGCACAAACATCATGTGAAGTCCCTCATAGAGATGCTGCTTTTATTGATCCTCCATCTGAGGAAATGAGGTTCCACCTGAAGCCCCTACTGCTGAATATCGAGATTCAAGGACAAATGGTGAATAGAGTCCTTGTCGATGGTGGTGCAGCAGTTGAACATATTGCCAATCACCATGTTGAAGAGGTTTGGTATTGAACCGAAAGATTTAGTCAAGCACAATATCATGATTTCCGATTTCAGCGGAAAACATCGAGCTCGAAGGCATGATTGCTTTAGACGTGAAAGTGGGCACTTATTCGAGGCCTACTCGTGTTTGTTGTTGTCCAGCCACATGCCAATTTCAATGCACTACTTGGCAGGAGTGGATTCATGGAGTAGGGGCCGTACCATCTACGGCTCATCGAAATTATTCATGTGGAATCGAGATGGACATCTCGAAGTAATCCTGTGGGATCAACACGAATTTGTAACATTCGTATCTCAGCTGGTTCGGCACTCGCGAATCCGGCACTTGCTCAACCATTCACCTTCGAAACCGTCGAAGATTTTAATTCAAAGTTACATGAGGAGCGATTCTTAGAGATGAATGAGAAGAAAGGATTTGTTATGATCAAAGAGGGGGCCAACCTCGAAGTGGCCGGTGAAGATGAATAGAGATTACGAAGGGTTCTTGGCTCGATTGAGAAAATATGAAGATGAAAAGAAGAGCCAAGAAAGTAGTAGTAGTAAGGTAAGACTAAATAAATCGATTCATTCGACTTTAGTTGCAAATAAAAGCGATCAAGTTATGTTTGATTGTATTTACGATAATTCTCCGTTAGGTTTTGAAAAATCCATTATATCAAATCACAAAAAAGTTGAGGCTCAGGACCCATTAGAAGAGATTAACTTGGGGAGTATCGAGGACCAGAAGCCTACGTATATCAGCAAATATCTCGAAAAAGAAATGAAGGAAGACATTATTTCCTTGTTAAAAGAATACAAGGATCGCTTTGCTT